AATTCTTCTTTTCCTACACTTTTTAATTACTTGTTATTAATTGTGATTGAGTAGTTTGCATCATCATTCATTCTTTACATATAAATTTATCTAAGGAATTGAATTTGTAAGAAAGTAATTTGGAAAAGTTTTATAAGAGGAAAATTTGGAAAACTTAATTCACCCCCTCCCCCTCTTAAGTTATATGAGGCTATTTGACTAACATTTTCAAAGAGATGCATGCTACTCATAACCCTGTGAATACCTCTTAACCAACTATACCTATTGTACATAGTGTTCCACATCATGGTAATGACACAATTGTTATGGATGAAAATCAAAATCCCATGCCTGAAAATACCAATAACTATCAGGTAGCAAGTGGTCCTACTTCTAATCATAACATATCTCATAGTATAGATCCTCATATAACTGAAAACACGCATAATATGATAACTAGGTCCAAGTCTGGTATATTCAAACCTAGAGTCCTCATTCCTGAAATAGAACCTAGTACTATTACTTTAGCTTTACAAGATTCGAAATGGTTCAATGCTATGAAAGAAGAATACCTTGCTCTAACTAGGAATCAAACATGGGACTTAGTACCTCTACCACCACATCGGAAAGCAATAGGATCAAAGTGGATATTCAAATTAAAATACAAACCTTATGGAACAATATCTAAACACAAAGCTAGACTTGTGGCTAGGGGTTTTAGTCAACAAGAAGGCCTAGATTATACAGAAATGTTTAGTCCGGTTATCAAACCCGTAAATATAAGAATAATTCTTTCTATTGCTCTTACAAAGGGATGGCCAATAAGACAAATTGATGTCAATAATGCTTTCTTAAATGGTTCATTAAAAGAGGATATATATATATATATATATATATATATGAAACAACCTGGGGGGTTTAATATTCAACATCCTACTCTTGTCTGTAGGCTTAAAAAGGCCATATAAACAGGCCCCTAGAGCTTGGTTTGCTAAGCGAGCTTCTACTTTGATCACTTTTGGTTTTAAACTAGCAAAATGTGATAATTCTCTTTTTATTCTTCTTAATGTTGTTCATACAATATATATATTAGTCTATGTGGATGGCATTTTGATTACAGGGAGCTCTCAAGCATTAATACAGAATCTCATTAACAGATTGAATACTCTGTTCCCATTAAAAGATTTGGGAAAGTTACATTATTTTCTCGGATTGCAGGTTCACTATGATACACAAGGAAATATGCTTTTAACTCAATCAACATATATAAATAATTTGCTGACTAAACTTAATATGCAGGATTCCAAATCAGTAAAGACACCTCTTCCTCCTAGTTGCAGAATGCTAACAAATTCAACAGAAAACTTTGGCAATCCCGATCAATACAAAAGCGTTCTTGGAGCTCTTCAATATGCCACTATAACTCGACCCGACATAGCCTATTTTGTAAACAAATTGTGCCAGTTTATGCATAAACCTCTGGAATCATTGGAGATGTGTAAAATGATTGCTACGATACTTGAGCGGCACAAAAGACCAAGGATTACATATTTAGAAATCACCCAGTCCGCCAATAACTGGATTCGCAGATTCTGATTGGGCAGCAGATAGAACAAACATGAGATCTACAACAGGATACTGTGTGTATTTGGGAAAAAATCTTGTATCTTGGATGGCTAAGAAGCAACACACTGTTTCCAGATCAAGTACAAAAGCAAAATTTAGGAGCTTGGCTGCCATAGTATCTGAAATTACATGGATTTAGTCCTTATTAACATAATTGCATGCAAAACACACCAAACCACCATTAATTTGGTGTGACAACTTGGGTGTTGCCCTCCTTATTGCGAACCCAGTCCTTCATTCCAAGTCAAAACATTTTGAACTTGATTTGTGGTTTGTAAGAGAAAGTGTAGCCCAGGATCTCATTGAAGTCAAGCATATACCTTCATAGTTTTAAGTGGCTGACCTTCTAACCAAGTCTCCTTCAACAATCATCTTTCAAAGCTTAAAACCCAAACTAAATGTTGTTTCTATAGACCAGTTTAGTTTGAGGGGGGAATAAAGGATACTTTACGTTTTCTATTATAACAACTTTTATTATTAATTTTATTATTTGTTGTATAAACTTATATATATCCTGTATCATGTCATGTATCCGTCATCAACAAATTAAATAATAATAATTTTCTCTTCTTCAGTTTTGTTTCTCAACCGAGAGCATAATTTTTTTTTTCCAGGACCTTAAAAAAATTGAGAACCGGCCCTATGTATATACCCATGTGATGGAAGAGGTTAAAAAAAAAAAAGAGAAAAAGGAGGTAGATGTATGTAGTATATATATTATAATGAAAAAAGAGTAAAATAAACATATAAGATGTGATGTTATAAATGTGACTACTCACTAACAAGCACAACTAGACAGGTTGGTGCAGCATGAGAAGCTCTTTTCTTCTTATCTTCAATATTAAATATTGGGGTATTGGTTGGAAAAATTAAGTATTAATTTCTATATTTTTTTATGCCCAATATTTATACATTGAGGGAGAAATTGAATGAGACACTTTTATAAATATATTATTTACACAATAACTTTTATAATATCATTTTTTTTATCGTATTAATTATTTTATTACCTTTTATCTTTATTCGTTGTACAAATTTTTACTATATGAATAGAATATTTCTTTGTTTAAATAAAGTTCTCTTATTGGTGCATACATACCAAGTGGAGAACTCATATCCCTCATAAAGTTCACTTCAATTTCCACTAAAAGCGATAAGATATGCCCCCCATCTATCAACCAAACAAAGGAAGCAATGAAACGTATGAAATGAAACTATATTATGAAAGTGCAATTGATGATATCATGAGACCGACGTGAAAGTTCTCTCATCGTATCATATTATAATTCTTATATAAAAAATGACTCAGAAAATTAACTTAAGTATAAAGAAAAACGATAACGATTTACAACTCATCTAATTCTAAAGCGGAATCCTTAGCTGGATTTAAGCAATCATTTTAAACCAATCTTATCTTTTAGTGGGAAAAAATATTTTTCAAAGTTCTTTTGTAAATTGACAATAAATTTGCATCACTGATTATTCAACGAATAATTTTCAAACTTGACCTTTCAACAATGGAATATAGAAGCACCAAAATTTTCTTTGGCAAAAAATAAACTATTGAGTGATTAACTGGTTGAAAAAGGTATATGTAAAGAAAATAAAAATGGGAAAATTGATCAAAAACAATTCTTAGATGTTTACAAATTGCAATATATATATATATATATATATATTTATTTATTTATTTATATTAATACGAGAATGATTACAAATAGTAAATGTATAAGACACTAAATATGCAATACAGCAAATGTGGCAGATTGATGTGTTCAATATTGTCGCAGAATCACAACTCTTCCAACTATGATGCGCTCATCATAAGCAATGCAAATCCAGCAAAGGATCCCGCTTTAGAATTACATGATAAACACGTTTTAATTTAGATAAGTGTCTCTATAAATATTTATGAAAATAAATATATAATTTTTTTATAAGTTAAAATTAGTTTACATATGAATTAACAAAAGTTTATTTATTTATAGATTAATTTGTAAATTTTTTTATGTAATCTTTTAAAAATTATAAATTAGCTTACGGATAAATTAGTCTTTAACTTGTAGAAAAAATATTTTTTTTATTTTTTATTTTTCTCTTATCAGTATTTTTTTTTTCAAAAGTTTATAATACATCTTATGTTATCCGCGGAATAAACAAAGCAATTACGTGGAATAAATCTTCCATCTCGTTCCAACTATTAAAAGAAAAATAAAAAAATAATTAGTATACCAAAAATAAAAAAAGAAAACCCAAGTTGACCAATCTAATCTTATATATCACATACCATGCACTTACCCAACTTAAACCTTGCAGTGTTGTATTTTCCTTACATAACCCCTACCATTTTCTCAGCTTGGCATCTATAAACACAACACCACATTTTCCATCGTTTTCACACCTCGGAGAAAAACACAACACAAAGAAACACGCTTTCATTAACCTCTTCAACATCAAAAAAAACCTCGACATCATCATCAAACCTCGTGATTTTGATGGCAACTCGCGTGATCCCTCCAAGAATCCTCAAGAACCTCCGTTACAACACAAGGGCACTCGACTCCTCTCACTCCTCCATCCCGTCCTCCATCGCTCCGTCGCTAGTCATCGAGAAGCCGTCGTCAGCGACGACGGCTCCTCCCTCAACTGCGACGGAGCTGAACATGGAGGACTCGGAGCAACTGTTCAGGTCGGTGTCGACCAGGCAACTGCTCCGGTCCTCCGCGGTGCTGCATGCCACCGCGGTGGGGCCGATGGTGGACTTAGGAATGTGGGTGATGAAGTCGAGGGTGTTCGAAAGAGGGGTGTTGAAGGATATGGTGATGGCCGCCACGCGCGAGACGTTGTACGCGAACTTCTGCGCCGGCGAGGATGCCGCCGCGGCAGGGAGGAGCATAGGGGCGCTGAACGGCGGAGGGTTGCGTGGCATGCTGGCTTACGGTGTGGAAGACGCGCACGATAATGAAGGGTGTGACAGAAACCTTGAAGCGTTCCTTCACACTGTGGATGTTAGCAAATCGCTTCCACCTTCTTCTGTAAGTGCTTTTTCACCTTTTGCCTTCAACTTAATTGGATTCCAAACAGCTCCATTTTATTTTCCTTGGTCTCTCACATGCATGCACAAGAGAGAAAGTCCCACCTGAATCACGTGTTTTTCTAAACTCACACCATAGATAAATAAATCATTAGGCAGCTAGTTGAGAATTATCTTATGTCTATGATTTTAACTAATTAACCACTCTATGACATTATTTAAATTTTGTAATCTAGGAGCAAAATTTAAAACCTTTAATTATATGTTATGTAACGACTATTTAGAATTGTGTCTGAAATCACTTAATAATTTCGGAATGGATGGATTTTGAATCTTTATATGACATATTTTAGTTTTATAATTTATTTTTGTAAATTAAAAAATAATTATATGTCAATAAAAGCTTAGTTATTTATCGTTCTGGCTATCGGATTATACAATAATTTTGCATCGTTTTCTTTTTTCAAGTTTATCTTTACATTCAATAGTGGAAGAATTTCACATTTTTCGGAATATATATAAAGAAGGTAAAAATAATGTCGTGTACGTGAAACTAATCATATTCCTTTTTGTAAATATGATTATCAAAAGTTAATCTTTTCACAAGTTATGGTATTTTGACTTTTGATACTCTTTATTTTGTATTTATTCTACATTTGTTTTTTTATATCTTACTTTCTATTGGTGACTGGTCAGATCATAGTTGTGAAATGCATGTCATTTATAAAATGAAACGTGGCAAAAAAATGTCACTCGTCCAAAATTAGTGGGAGTCTAAAAAAACCAAACCTTTTTCTTTTCTCCCCACTTACCCATTTATTGAAAATGAGTCAATTGGTTTTGCAACTTTTCTATATATATATATTTTTATTACCACGGATATGTTAATTTAATTGGAAACTTATGGAGGCCAATTTAATTTTTGATGTGATAGGTGAGTTTTGTGATTTTAATGCCAAGTGTCACAATATTTAACATTTGAAACAAATGATGAAGAAATGCTAGAATGTTTATTAATAAAAGATGACATGAGATTAAGTTTAAACAAAACATCACTAATATATCATTTCCCAACAAAAGAACCATGTTGAGAAATTACAACTCTATTATTTTTTAAAACAACTTTAAAACTTTGTTGAACTAATAAAGCAATACTAATCATTTTTTTTCTAATTTCAGAAACATGAAAAACTTCATCTAAGACAAGACAATTTTCTAAAGATAATTATAATTCTACTTGGCCTAGACCAATAACACATGCTAGGCTCTTATTCCCCATGTTTTGAAACAAATGATGAAGAAATGCTAGAATGTTTATTAATAAAAGATGACATGAGATTAAGTTTAAACAAAACATCACTAATATATCATTTCCCAACAAAAGAACCATGTTGAGAAATTACAACTCTATTATTTTTTAAAACAACTTTAAAACTTTGTTGAACTAATAAAGCAATACTAATCATTTTTTTTCTAATTTCAGAAACATGAAAAACTTCATCTAAGACAAGACAATTTTCTAAAGATAATTATAATTCTACTTGGCCTAGACCAATAACACATGCTAGGCTCTTATTCCCCATGTTCATAGTACATGTGTCACATTTCTAATATGAAAAGAATAATTTTTTATCAGCACACATATGAACATTAGCTCCAAAGTCAATCCGCCAATCATTTGAGTTATAAATAAAATTAACTCTGGACTAGTGACATGATACCTGTTAGATGAGGAATCTGAGCTAGTAGCGGTAATAACATTAGCTTGAGGCTGAGAAGATGATTTTGGATCAGATACAATGTCTTTTGGTTGACAACGACGATGAAAATAACCTTTAGCAAAATGATTGTTTCTTCCACAAACAAAGAAAAAGACTTATTTCCTTGAATTTTACTCTTTGGTTTGTAGTTGTTATTAAAAGCCTTGTTTTTATTTTTGGAGAAATGAGAGCTATGACCAAACTTATTATTAGAAAAATCATATTTTTTTTTTGAAAAACTTTTGTTTAGACTTATTAGAATTTTCGACTAAATGAGCCTTAGCTTGAAAATGAGGTTTATGAGAATCCTTTTGTGAAATACGACACTTATCTTCAATTTGCAAAGAAACCAATAAGTTAGATACAATGAAATGATCAAGTTTATGCCTAAGGTTTCTTGCAAATTCAAACCAAGAAGGAAGGTAGTTTAAAAATTAAAGGACTAATAAGCATTATGTCAGGTAAAATAATTTCTTTCATCTTCATGTCATAAAATAATATTTTCAAATTCATGAACTTGGTTAAAAAAAAGTTTTTCATCTTCCATTTGAAAATAAATCATTCTTTCACAAAAGTATCTTCTTAAACCCTTTTCAATAGAACCATATTCACTTTAAGAGCATCCCATAACTCTAAAGTAGATTTTGTATGATAAAATATTTTATAAATATTATTAGATAGGGCACTCAAAATACCACCATGACATAAAATATCTTTGTCACTAGAAGTATCATCAAAACAGCTAACTTTAACCAAAGCACCATTAAAACTTTTTTTAGATTTTCCATTTCAAATGACAGAAAATAAACTCAACTCTATAAGCCAAAATTTCATCTGTTGTTGCTAACATAACAAATTTTTACCATTAAATTTGTTTGGCTTACTACTCAAAGACTTTAAAATATTCATTACATATTGAACAAGAAAAAAAGATTGTTGGAAAAAATGAATTAATAGAGCATAAACAAATAAATAATTACATTTATGAAGAAAGCCAATATCAACAGAAAATAAACTCAACTCTATAAGCCAAAATTTCATCTGTTGTTGCCAACATAACAAATTTTTACCATTAAATTTGTTTGGCTTACTACTCAAAGACTTTAAAATATTCATTACATATTGAACAAGAAAAAAAGATTGTTGGAAAAAATGAATTAATAGAGCAAAACAATTTTGTTATTACCCATTAAACTTCATTCATGGGATCACCATTTATTTGGAGATGGGTGTTCATTATTGCAACTAGTTGATGGACTTTAGTTCCATTCCCCTTGATGATTCAAGTACTTGTTGATGCGTTAACCATTTTGTGAGCAGATCTGCAAGATTATTTTCAAACCTGATAAAATCAACAAAAATAACATCATAAGATATTAAATTTCTAATATACTTGTGCCTTATTCTCAAGTGCCTTATTTTTCATTGAAGTTTTTCTAGTAACTTTAGCAATAATAACTTGACTATTATAATGCATTGAGATTGGAGGTATAGGTTAATTTAACAAAGGCAAATCATATAATAAACTTTTAAGAAATTCATCCTACTGACAATATCAAAAGCAATTATTCCAGCTTCTATAGTAGAACGAGAGATAATAGTTTGTTTAGTAGATTTCCAAGCTATTACACCTCCAGCTAAAGTAAAGACACAACCACTAGTAGATTTAGTTTTGTCAGAATCATAAATCTAATTTGCATCACTAAAACCTTCAATTACAACAGGATAACATGCATAATAAATGCCATAATTAATAATTCCTTTAAGATATTTAAATAAACTTTCTAGAACAAGCCAATGTGAATGATCAAGGTTTATATGAGTATATCTTCATAATCTATCAACAACATATGCAATGTTTAGTCTAGAATAATTAGACACATCCAATAAGGAACCAATAATTTGAGAGTATTTAAGGGAGAGATACCTCCACCAATATTTTTCTTCAATTTTATATTAGAATCAAATGGGGTAGAAACATGTTTCACATCAAAATAATTAATTTTCTTTCACAATTTTTCAATATAATATGATTGTATCAAAACAATACTAACATGATTCTTAATTAACTTAATGCTTAAAATAACATCAACAAGACCAAGATCCTTCATTTCAAAATTACTAGACAAGAAAATTTTCACATCATTTATAACATGTAGATTACTACCAAAGATTAAAATAACATCCACATAGAGGCATAAAATAACACATGAATTATCATCAAATTTTTTTACATAAACACATTTATCACTATTATTAAATTGAAAACCATATGACGAAACAATTTGATCAAATCTATCATGTCATTGTTTAGGTGCCTATTTTAAACCATACAAAAATTTAACAAGTTTTTAAACTTTATATTTTTCATTCCAGGTTCTATAAAACATTCAGGTTGATTCATATAAATTTCTTCTTCCAAGTCACCATTTAAGAAAGTAGTTTTTACATTCATTTGATGAATTTCCAAATTAAAAACACAAGCAAGAGAAATTAAAACTCTAATAGTAGTAACTTTAGAATTAGGAGAATGTGTATCAAAGAAATATACACCTTCTACTTTTTTATAACCAATAACAACAAGTTTTGCCTTAAACTTATCTATAGATCCATCTATTCTTAATTCTTTTTTTCCTGAAAAACCCATTTACAATCTATACTTTTGTAGCCAGGAGGAAGGTCAGTCAAAAACCAAGTTTTATTGAGTTTAAGAGAATCTATTTTATCATTAATGACTTCTTTCCAAGAAGGTACATCAACAAATCTTATGGCTTCACTATAAGTTTTAGGATTATCTTCAAGTAAGAAAGAATAAAATTTATGACCAAAATTTTTAGCTTTTCTAATTCTTTTTTACTTATTATAGGTTCAACATCGTTGCCAACATTATTGCTAGAAGGTAAAATAGAACTAGAAGTATCAGAAACAAGTTAAGACAAATTATTCTTCAAAGGAAAAATATTTTCAAAGAAAACATCTCTAGATTCCATAATTATATTATTAGAAATTTCAGTAACTTTAGAATTAGTAACTAAAAATCAATAAGTAGAACTATGCAAATTTGGTTTTGTATTTTTCCAAAGTTCATAAAGGGTTTTATTTGTGAATGAGTTCAAGCAAGTAAGTTTCCTTTTGAACAAAATTTTGAAAAGATTTTCTAGGTTGTTTACCTTGAACACAAACTTCACATTTTGTTTCAATTCATTAAAAGATTTAGGAATAAGATCAAATGTCATCATTCTTTTAATAGATTTCAAGTTAACATGTCCAAGTCTACCATGCCAAGTGTCACAATATTTAACATTTGAAACAAATGATGAAGAAATGCTAGAATGTTTATTAATAAAAGATGACATGAGATTAAGTTTAAACAAAACATCACTAATATATCATTTCCCAACAAAAGAACCATGTTGAGAAATTACAACTCTATTATTTTTTAAAACAACTTTAAAACTTTGTTGAACTAATAAAGCAATACTAATCTATGTGTCATAGGAAATATTTGCATTATTTGATGTTATGCTAAACAATGGTAATTTCTTTATGAAAATACAGAAAGGAGTTGGGGAGGAGACTGAAAGCTGCTGTGTTCTAATTAGCCATGATTCATTGACTTTTTGTTTGTACAAATTGGAGAATTATGTGATCTGGTGGAAGCTGTGCATTCAATGAAATGAGAATCTGCTTTGTTATGGTATTTTTGCTGGAAATGCAAGTTAGTTTTGTGTTGAGCAATGAGCTTGTGCATAAAACTGGAAACTGTACGTAGAGAGTCAAATTGGAAAAATGAGAAGGAAAAAAAAATGATTAATTTATAAGACGTGGGTTGGCCCAAGTTTCTCAATCTAGCTTTAAATCAAGTTAGTTGGGTTCGTTTAATTTTGATACAAACGTCCTTCGTTCAAAGACTTTCAAATAGATTCGTGAATTATTATATTATCTGCCATGGATGCAAGTGGGTTATCTAACACAAAAACAATCATATTAAGGCACTAACAAGTGTCTTTAGCGCACAAATTAAGAAATGACTATATATAAAGTATTTTTTATTAAAAATTACGATAAAGTTGTATTTGAGATTTAAGTGAGATACATTGATAATACTTTCTCACAAAGTCTTTTTTCTTTTAATTCCTTAATGTACTACGTACAATACTTATAAATATTTCCCGAAGATCAAGTAAATATTTGGATTTTTAGAAAAAATTTTCAAAATGCA